CTTACTAGGCCGTTTGTCCTCTGAGCGATGAGCTAGCTAGCAGGTGGAATAGTAGTAGCTGGCAGAGTTGAGATGGAGCCAGACAGTTTTTTCTTCTTCTCACCTCCTCGCGAGCTGAACAGCCAGAACACTGCAGAAAGCGTCGTGAATTGTCGTGAACCTGCTGCCGTTGATACCCTCGTTCTTCAGTTCCTGCCGGTACCTTGTCCAGCTCCATGGGCAGACGAACAGGGGCTCCACTGTACTAAGACTGGGACTAGTTAGCGGGCAGCCCAGAAACCCGAATGCTCCAGCGCTCCCACTCGCTCCCAGTCGCTCCCCCAGCCAAAGCCCAGCGCACGCACGCCCATCCGGTATCAGCGTGCTGGTTTGGCTCTTTCCTCCTCCCAAGGAACTTGGCCGGTCCTCCCTCCTCCATCTCAACTCACCCTCCTCCTCACCTCTCCCATCGCCGAAGGCTTCAAACCCTCTCAACCACCAACCCTTTGGCTTCAATTCCGGTCGCAAGTCTTTTCGAGATTTGCCCTGGTCTTGGCCGTCCGCTCCTTTTTCCTCTTCTCGGTCGGAATCATCATCTTCTTTTCTCTTCTTCTTTCTCCTTCTGATCCGATTTCCCATTTTTTTTTTTAAACTAGCATTGCCTCGTTATTTATCTTTGGTTTGCATTTCTCTTGCGCCCGTTTTCTCTCGATAGATTACCGGCAGGCGGGAAACAGCCACGCAACGCTGCAACGAAATATTTGTCACGGGCAAAGAAACAAACACAACATACGCACGCAACCCAAATACTCACGAGTCGAAAATAAAATAGTATCAAAACAACTTATAGTCGACTCAGCCATTCGCTCACGAGGTAATACCAGTCATTCGCTTCAGTCGTCATACAGCCATTTCCACCCCTCCGTCTGCGACACTGAGCACCCAACTGCCTGCCGTAACCAACCCAAGAGCAAGCCGCAGTCTCACCCTCATCTTGTCCCATTCAGAATTCTGCCACGATTCTTTCGCCCGACGCAGTACTGAGAGACAGCCTAACAAAAGACCACAGGCAACGAGTAGCAACATTCCGGTCTCTGTCACGTCCGAAATAGAATCATTCATGATATCCCCTCGCTTCTAGGTGCTTGTCCGATTTGTGCCGCAGTGCGGCCTTGTAGGAACAATGGCCACCGCTTACGCAACATCTGGCGGTCCGGGGGATTCCACCACGACAACAATCGGTGGCATGGGTGTGGGTGCGGATAGAAATGGGGCCCGAAGGCGGCATCTCTCGATACCTGAGCCCATTAGGATTGAGGCACCGTCCGACGAACAGAGCCCTTACGACCTTCCGACGCCTTCGCCACGCTCAAAGCTCCCGCCTCCGAACCCGCCATTTGTTTTCCCAGCCCGGCATTCGGTATCTTCAGCACCCTCGTCACTTTCTCGGGCAAGTGGTCATCGACCGCAATCTTCCATGGGTCTGCCGGACGACAGGATGGCTTCGAGCGCGCGACCCCGACGTTCGCCTGCACTGCCAGCTTTCAGTTTTAACCCTGGCGCCAACCTGCCTCCCGAGGACACCGACAATGACTCTGCGCAAGGACCGCTTCCTCTTCCCGAGTTCAGCTTTAATCCTAGTGCTTCTCTCGATTCATCGTTTGCGTTGATGGGCGCACCACGTTCTCCAGTCTCACCGCATTTGGCTCCGAATCGTGGCAGCCACAGGCGGGGTGGCAGTGAGTTCGTGGGTGGAAAACTCCGGGAAGGCGACTCGATCACAGTAATGAACAACACCAACAACAGCCCTACGAGGTCGGAAAATGGGTATGCATCCCCTGCTCTGCAGCCTGTCGACTCATCGCAACGAAGGGGAAGGCACCAGCATCGCCGGTCCGCTGCCATCTCGAGCCACGATCTCTCCATGATTCTCAAGCCACCGACCAGCCCGATGCCCTCGCGAGGCAACAGCGCCCCTACGAGTCCCGCTGATTTTGACCACAAAACGATGCCCTTTCCTGGACAGGAAGAGGTTGGACCAAATAATGCGTCACCACCTCCAGAACCCGTGGCAGAACAGGCAGTCGACGCCGTTGAGACGCCCGTTGGTGCCGAGAATAACAGTGCAGAATCAAGCCCGAGCTCGAAACCCGCCCGGGCAAAGGTTGGCTTTTCGGATACCCTCGAGTACATCCCTCGACCGTTGTCCATGGTCTCGACCGACACTTCGAGCACGGTCACTGGCTACCCTGGCCATTCTGTATCCAACAGCATATCGTCCATAATTTCCCTCGGAAACTCGACAATTGCGGACAGGGAGCGTCCCGCTATCCTCTCCCCGCCGTTGCCAGTTAAACAGGGTGAACACCGGCCAAGCACCGCAGGTCCTGTACTAGAACGCACCCCAAGCTTGCTGGCTTCATTCCCATTCGACGATACTCAGTCATCACCTCGCAGGCGAAACTCGATACCGCTTCTGCCCATTATCACCATGGACGAGCCAACGTCACCAGCACCTTCTAGTCCCACGAAAATTCCAAAGCGGTGGTCTTTCTTCGGACTGGACCCATTTGCATCCTCGCCCGGCAAACAGCGCCCCCTCAGCTCAAGCTCATTTGAGATAGGCCCAAAGACGATTGATGCCCGCAATGGTGTAGAAAGTGACATGACTTTCGATGACGAAAGCGAGTCTCATTCGCCGACGAAGAAGCCGTCGGGCAAGAAGAGGAAGCAGAAGAAGGTCAAGTCATGGGCCGGTTCCCTGCTGCCACGTAAAACCAAGACTCGATCTGGAAAGGCAACATCCGACTCTCCGCGCGCACCGACTCCGCCTCCGTCAAATGAACAACTCAATGCCGCCATGTACGAGGACGGTTTGGACGTCACAGGCCCATTCACAGCACCCATGGTCATGGTCACACAGCCTGCAGGCTCTTCACTTCGGGTGCCCTCGCCAGACAAGCCTCGACGAAAGTCCGAGGATGATGCCTCGTTTCCCATGATTGATCTGGACGCTGCCCTTGGCCCGTTTAACACACCCTCGGCTCGCGATCCGGCATGGGACGCAGCTCAGAGGAAAGGTGCACCACCAAAACGTCAACTACATAGTGCGGCAGGAATGCGAGGCTTCTCGGGTCCTGGTATGCATTATCACCGCCGCGCCGAAAGCGCCCCAGAGATGCCACCTTTCGAGGGAAAATTCGGCATTCACCGATTCGGCAGTTCTTCCACCATGGCTGATGTGTTTGAAGAAGAGGAGGAGGAGGATGACGAGGAATCTGGCTCGGATACTCCTTCACAAGCCTCGACTCCGGGGGCCAGCACAACATCTGGAGCCCAATTTGAGGCCCAATCGACCAGTGATGGATCTGCAACCACGCCAACTCAAGAGATAGAATTCGCAAGAAAGAACTCGACAGGTTCAATTCCGCGGGCACCGTCAATCACGAGAAAGGGAAGCGGGTCAAGCTTGGAATTGCAGCCGCCGGCATCAAGAGTACGCACCGAAACTTCAATCAGCTCTCTCCACGACGAGGTTATTGCCGAGGAGGTACCCGTACAGCAGCATACTGCGGTGGACCAAGAGCGTATTTACGAGCCATATCACGAGTCAGACTTGGTTGCGCCATCGCCGCGGAGGGTGTTTCCGGGCAAGGATTTGGCGCCAGTTGAAATACACCCAATCAGCCTTCCTGGACCTATGGCAGGTATGAGCCCATATTCAATGAGCCATTCGTCCTCGTTCCCTTCGCCACGCTCGCCAATGTCGCAATGCGATGCTCATCGGGTTTCTACTGCACCATCGTCGGTCACCGAGGAAACAAATTTCCAGTCTCTGCTCATGGGAGAGCCCGGTCCGGAAGTCGTCCGCATTTCTGTTGATGTCCCCTCGTTGACCGATAGTACCTCGACGATGACTCGCGAAAGCAATTTTCCCGGTGTCCTCCCTGGAGTTCAGAGCACTTCTCCCGGAGTCCAGAACAATTTCCCAGGTGTACGACCGCGCAACAGACCATTCCATGACCAGCGGCCCGCATCGTTCACGGCATCGGCTTTTGGACGTCGAAGATCGAGCTTGGCCAGCCTCAGCCGTCTAATCAGTACATCACACGGCGAGCGAAGCAAACTGAGCATGGAGGTTCCCATGGACGAACCAGAGAAGAAGACAAAAGTCAGCTTAGCCAAGAGGCTCAGTCGAATGGTCAACTTCCGGAAGCCAAAGGAGTCAGCAGCACCTTAGGGAGTGCTTCAAACTTACTTTCTGGCTTCTGCTGTGCGTAAGCGATGGTTCTCGCGAGACTTGGAACCCAGTGAAGAGAAAAAGTCATTGCCGCCAATTTAATGACTCCCGTATAATTCTACGAAACGTTAGATTTACGAGACTTGCTGTTGCTTTATTGCACATATTTTTTTGGCGTTTTACGAGAGCATGAGAAGAGTAACTATAGCATGATGATGGGAATGATCTCCTGTCGAGGACGGACGATCCTATTGTACTTTAAAACAAATGAGACGAAATGGCATGAACCCATTCGGTGGGGGTAAAATCAGACAACCTCGATGGGTACAGAGGTAGACAAATGGAACAAGGAATGATTGCAGCCCTGATGGGTACAAGGAGGCTACCATCGCGAACGAGATCAAGGTAGCAACCGCTCAGAAGCAATTTGGTTCGGACCCTACTCTTCTCTTTCCAGAAGCGATGGAGGGCCTCGACTTCTGGGATAAAAGCATACAAAATGATGCTGCATGTAGACGTATAATAATGAAGACTTTTTGATAACAACTTGGACGGCCGAATGTATTCTGCTGAGTGATTGTAATTCGCACCATTGGGAAGCATAGAAGAGTAAGAAAAAGGATTGGCAGTTGTGTTACACAAGTGGATGGCAAGTGAATGCGTATGGCCGAACTCCACAGTCAAGGAAAGACATCCAGAGATGAATGAATGATGATATCCATGTGTTAATAGTCATGGGTAAGAAAAAAAAAGAATGATCTTCCAGTTCATGAAAAATATCAGGTCAGTCGGGGATTCGAACCCCGGTTACCGGAAAACTCGACGAGAGAAGAAGATCTTCTAGAGAATCAGAATCCGATGTGATAACCAACTACACTAACCGACCGGGACCATGAACATGGGAGAAATTGTTGGAGAATTTTGGCGTTATTACGAGATTATATCGTAAGGATGATTTGGATATGGGGTGGGAAGTAAGTCAAAGAAGGGTAAGCGGTTGGGGCACGAGTCACGATGGGATCGGTTGGTTGATGGTCGTCGACGAGTCACGGCTCGACCTGTATTCCTTGGTCGCAGATGGGATCTTGTTTTTGTCTGTTTTCTTTTTTGACTATAGGCTTTTAATTCCAGATACGTACAAGTCTACTCTTTCACTCGTCTTTCTTTGACAGCTTTTAAATATTTAGGACAAGAAAACAAAACCATGATAGTTTCCACTATTTCTTGGCCAGCATCTCCTTCAAGTACGCCTCGTGGCCGACCTCGGACAGCTTGGCGTCCTTTGCGTAGACCTCGTCCTTGAGGCGGGCCTGGTACGCCTTCATGGCCTCGGCGTACTCGGGCAGGCTGGCGCCGAGGATGCGGATGGCCGCGAGGGCGGCGTTGGTCGAGTTGTTGATGCCGACCGTCAGGCACGGCACGCCCCGCGGCATCTGCACGATCGAGTAGAGCGAGTCGACGCCGTCGAGTACCGACGCCTTGACTGGCACGCCGATCACGGGGAGGTGTGTCTCGGAAGCCAGCATGCCGGGGACTATATCGCGGGTTAATATCAGTCATGGTTATTTGGAGTCGTGCAAGACGGGAGAACTTACGATGAGCGGCACCACCAGCACCGGCGATGATGACTTGCACTCCGCCCTTGGACACCTCTTCCGCGAACTCGGACATGAGCTCGGGCGTCCGGTGGGCGGAGGTGATGCGGACCTCGTACGGGACGTTGAACTGGTCCAGAATCTTGAGACCGGCGCTCATGACGGTCAAGTCGGAGTCGGAGCCCTGCGAAGCCAGTCAGTTTTACGTACAGCTGCCATATCTGGGGCAGTATTCAAAAAATTGCATACCATGGTCATTGCCACTAGCGGAACGCCCTTGGACTTGCCCTGTGACTGCGCAGAGAACTTCTCGCCTACGCGTTCCGCGCGCATCTCTGCCGCAGCATCAATGAGCGGCTGGGCTTGCTCTGCTAACTTGGAGATTGACGAGAAACCGGTAGCCGTAATGTGGCCAATTTTCCTGCCCGGCTTCGATTCCTTGCCGTATTGATGCAGGTATACATCCATGGAGGAGTTGCCCATGGATTGTGTAAGCTCTACCAACTTGTCGTGCGAGTCTGGCTTGGCACCGCCAAGTATGTTGACCATGAGAGCCGAGGGCACTCGAGGAGCCAGGGTCAGCTCTTCTGGTACCGTGTTCAACAAGGCGCATATTTGTGCCTTGTATTGTGATAGTTGAGGCACCGCCTCGATGGTGTAGTGACCCGAGTTGTGAGGCCGGGGCGCTACTCTGCAAGAGGACATTAGCTAGGCTATTTCATTGCACTCGAGAGTCCAGAACTTACTCGTTGACCATGATCTGGCCATCTTTGAGCAGGAACATCTCGACGGCAAAGACACCGCGGCCCCAAAGATTGGCAATGACGTCGCAAGCCACCTTTTGGGCCCTGATCTTGACCTCGTCTGCCACTTTCCTGGGAGGGTAGTAGACAGTTGTGCAGATCGAGTCCTCGTGGATGGTCTCCACGACAGGGTAGGGGACAACCTTGATCAGGTTGCCGTCGTCGTCCTCCAGTCTCATGACCATGACGGCCAGTTCCAGCTATAATAAAGCAGGTCAATGACAGCTGCCCCACGTGATCTGTCTGGTAATGCGACTCACCTCGAATGGAACCCACTTCTCGGCATAGAGGGGCTGGTTGCCCATCTCCTTGGCGGCGATCTCAAAGTCCTCGGCGCTGCGGACCTTGTAGTTACCACGGCCATCGTAGGATCCCTTTGCGCCCTTGAGCATAAAGGGCAGGCCGAACTTGGTGGCGGCCTCCTGGAGCGAGGCCTTGCGGGTGTCGTCGGAGCTGGACTCGATGGCCATCTGCTGGGCGACGGGGATGCCCTTCTTGATAAAGTACTCCTTCTGCTCGTACTTGTCCTGGATGAGGCGGATGGTCTTCCAGGAGGGGTGGACGGGGACCTTTTTCCGGTAGGCCTTGCCGTCGGGGCCGCGGACCTCGATGCCCTGGGTGGCGATCTCCTCGAGGATGTTGGTCTCGACGTGCTCGACCTCGATGGTGAGCATGTCGCAGCGCGAGGCCAGCTCCCGGATCTTGTCCGGGTCCTTGAAGGAGCCCGTGACGTGCAGGTCGTTGTGGTTGGCCTGCTTGGCGGGGCATCCCTCGGCGTCGAGCACGGCGACCTGGACGCCCAGAGGCCCGGCCTGCTGGCAGAGCATCTGGCCCAGCTGGCCTCCGCCGAGAAGACCAATGATGGGCTTGGTCATGATGGCTGACGATTATGTGGTTGTGACACGAGATGTGTGAGGGAAATGCGCCTGTCAAGAAAGAATTCGTGACCGGCTAACCTAGTGGTCGGTAATAGTACCTGGCCAGGTGGGTTAGGTGAGTGTTGCTCGCTAGTTTTGGTGTTAGATCGGCTATCCGCAATCGGCCACTAGGATATGACTGACTTGCCTTTCTTCTTGTTTGCTTGTTATTTTGGTTCTTTCTCGGCTGCCGTTTGAAAGTAGAATTTTGAGATGAATATAATCTGATGAATCTGGTTCGTGTATAATGGTTTGTGACGAGCAATGCCCTCAACGGTGCCTTGGTGAGTGTATTATACGCCAATGAAAAAAGTCATCTGGAGGGGCAGCCACTAATAAACCCTTCAATTGCCCCAGACCATGTCCCGGTTGGGCAGGCGGTAAAGCCCTATGTCCATCATTACCTTATTACTGTACCGCCAAGCATCAATGACTCTTGTCGGTCGTCGTGCAGGAATCACTTTTCACATTCAACCGTTAGTTGCAGTCAATGGGAGCCATATGGAAAGCATAATTACATAAGTCACTCTTAGGCCGTACAACATGGAAACGAGCGTTCCCAATGGAGATTTGCTGTAAAGTAGCCCCACTAAAAAGGAATCATGATAGGGACCTCATATGGTGTATATAATACCTTGACTGAGTGACCGACCAGTCGAGATTTCCCCAATAGGTCATCCAATTGGTGAGTATGGTGAGTGCCACGCTCGTCGTTGCCTCGATCCTGTTGCATACCTAGGTACCTAAGATAATCGATTATGAGCATCTAGAAGGAACGTCCGCGTGCTTAAGTTTCTCAAATCAAAACACCCGAGGCACCCGACTTTGGAGCTTCCTGGTCATCTTCATCATCACCATTGAAGAACTAACCGATACCACGGTGCATCTTACCCAGTTGTCTTGCTTATTCCAAAATAAATCATAAGCTCTTTGATACATTGACACCAATGTCAGAATCTCTCTCTGAAGGTAGCGATGGGACTGCTGTCACGATGACCAACACTCCAGTTAAACACCCGAGCGCGCCAGAGCCTACTCATCAAGTTGATACCGATCAGACCGAGGCAATCTGCACTACTGGGGACCTCTTCCTGGTCGTTGGGAAGCAGAAGCTACGATTTAGAGTCCATTCCCAATGTCTCCGGCTAGCCTCACCAGTGTTTCATACAAAGTTTCTATCATTATGGAAAGGAGGAAAAAGCCCCTCGGAAGATTCGCCCAAAGACCTCGGTCTAGGTGATGACGACGGGAGTACAATGTGGAGAATATGTTGCGTTCTTCACCACCAAAACGACTTGGTGCCATTGGAGCTGCCGGCCGAAGAGGTCCTGCAGATTGCCGTGGTATCAAACAAGTACAACTTATCCTGCGCCCTCAAGCACATTCAAGAAGCGTGGCTCACAACGGCCGTCGACACCAACACGATGAGAGGGGCGGCCCGTCTCCTGGCGGCCGCGCAACTGTTCCGCAATGCGCCATCGTACAGCCGCTAGAGTGGGCACCTGATGGCAAGATTCACGGAGCCTTACCAGGAGATCTTGCAGGATCAAACTCTTCGTCGTGTTCTGGGGTACCATATCGCCGGTAAGTCCATTTCCTGCCTGGTGTATATGACTTATGAGTCGGGTACGCATGCACGGACTTGGTTGGACAGCGATGTTGGAAACACGGAGAGACAACTTGCGAAGTGTAATGAGCGATATAATCTGCAAAGGGACAAAGAGCGCATGCGGTTGCGAATGGGGAGCATTTCGCGAGGTGGCTTTTCAAAATTTACACAAGGAGAAGCACAGCCCGGCAACCATTTCCAATTTCAACTTGTCAACTGTCGCTTTCAATATCAGAAACGCTGCATACGAAAACGGACCAGAAAATTGGTGTCATGTAAAGAAAAGATTCCACGAAATGGAAGTAGTAAAAGAGTATGAGGATGCTACTTGGGAAGCTCTGAAACAACGAACTCTCTGCTTGGCCTGTACCGAAGCCGTCGAAGCAGGTAACGCACAGTACTGTAGCCTTCATCGACCTATAGATCAATAAATACTAAGTATATATACTTTATGTCAGCCAGATTCAGGATATCCATGCCATTGTATTTGTGATACTTTGTAATAGCATAGATGTTCATACGGCTTTGTTTGATGTTGATAGATTGAGAGTGTCCTGTATACGATCATTCCATACTGCCCGCCGATAAAGCGCCACCATATTTATGAAATAGCAGTATTCATGACATTTCTACTCTTCCATGGAACATTCGTCGAAAGATTATGCTACCGTTGGTACAGAGTCTGTCGCATACTTTCCTCCTGTATCAATAGAGAATGTGTCTGGATATCTGCTTTTTGTGTGTCATTGGGCGTTTGACTGGAAGTTTTGTTTACTCTTTTGTGTGTGTTATTTTTATGAGCGTGTGAGTGTCTTTGTGTGCCATTTAGGAGATGTCGTGTCCGTGTGGAGGTAGTTCTTCTAGCGTTTACAGTGAAGTGGACATGGACTGTGTCGTCATAGAGCGAACGATTGTGTATAGATAGTGACATGGTCAGAATGAGGCGCAAAGGGGAAAGGATA